CCATTCTATGATTCTATGATTCTATGTTCCTTGAGAGTGTCTCTCCCAGTTTTAGGACGAGGCGTAAGTTCTACCAAAACGAGGCAGTAAAATGAAGGGAGATATTTCTTTCTTTCTCAATTGTTTAACCCTTTGAACAATCCTGAACAATTCCTTTCTGCATGCTGACTGCTTGTCAAGTGGCTACCACGTCACCCCTCAGAGCCTAAACTGTACGTATTCGGCCAAACCCGTAAATGAAGCGTAGGGACAGCGCAAAGCTCCGCTCTCCCCTCGCATCTCCGGCACCTGCTGCTTTCCAGCCATGCTCCTGGCGCTGGAAGCACACCTCGCCCTGCTACACCCTGTACAAACACAGAACAAAAAGTCTTCACCCCCCAGAGAAAATGCAACAGAAATCTAAGACATAAGGGAACAGCTGAATCCCCAGCGGCAGGGAAGGCTGGGTTTGTTCTCTCTGCACTTTCACACACAGCTGAACTTTTTTAGGAATGAAAAATGGCCATGATTTTGCACTCCTGTTTTAAAAAGTTTGGCTGTTTCCTTTCCAGGGCAGACCTTTGTTGCAATGCTGAACAACAAATTGTTCTTCCACCTGTTGTTTTTCCTTATTGCTCCTGCAAGCTCTCTCTCTCTTGCCCACCCATCCTGCTCACACGCGGAAGCTGCTGGGAACATGGCTGGTGATTTCGTTTTGCTTGCGGCTGTCTCTCTCCTTTCCACCTTCCAGCAATGTAAGATCTGTGGGGTTGCGTGGCTGGGATTTGGGGAGGTTTCCACCCGTTCTGAAGTACTGGAAATTATTTTATGATAAATTGGCTGTTCTGCAACTTTAATTTCGGAGAACTCCTAAGATTTTTCTCATCGGAGTATTGTATTGTTTACCCTCCCTGTAGTCTGAGCGGGAGTTGGCTCAATGGGACAGATTCATTTTCCCTGTGGGAGAAACTAATTTGTTTTCAATTCTATTTTGTTTCCTGACTATTTGGAATCATACTACTGTGAGAGCTTGTAACTAGCTTTAAAGTTACACCAAAGCCACATTGTGTCTTGATTTCAATTCTTATTTAGGCACCTATACAACTAAAAACCACAAAAGTGAGAGTAAATTTGTGAAATCACATACACCAGTGCCGGACTGAAAGTGCTGTAAAAGCTGTTTCCTGAAACAGAGATACATACCAAGTACTGGAAAGGAAAGAAGAAAGCAAAACTTCACACCAGGCAGCAATTATATGAGATATTCCATACTATGTCCTCATCATTACATTTCTGTAAGATCTAAATGGATTTATTTTATCCCCTGCTAATCTGCCTCTGAGAATCAAGGGCTAGGGGAAGAAATGGGCAAGTCTGAGATGCTCTTTTTGCTGTGTATCTAAACTAAAACTAAACCAGTCTAAAACTGCAGTAGCATTTTTAATGCTTGTCATTATTTTATTTGAAATATGTTGATTCGTATAGTTGTGTTTATACCAGGAAACCAGATACATTTTGAAGGCATTTGTGCTATACTGGTATGAGATTAAGAGCAAGTTAAAAATAATTACACTGCCTTTTTTTTCAAATACTTACAGCACTGCCAACTTATCTAGCAACCTATCTCTGTGGCTTGATTGTTTGTTTATTTGTTCTCAAAGTCTCAACTACTGAAATAACATTTGTTTGAGAATGTGACCCTTCCAGGTTAAAAAAACCCCAACAGCAACAGAAGGCAAATATAAAAAGCACCTAAAAGTTACATTCTTTTTCTGTCCTCAGATCAGCTACAACATACCCTTGTGATCTTCACAAAACATTTCTATCTGGTATTTACCATCAACTTCTGTGAAAGTTCAGCTTGCCTGGCTTGATTTTTAATGTAAAAGTGTGAAGGGTTAAAAAAAATCAAGCAAACAAACATTATCTGGAAAAGTACTGCAGTTTGAAAGTTCAAGGAACTGTATAGACACTGAAACTGCAAAGGGAGGGAGAAAATACCTGTGTTTTTCCTTGTGATGGTTAAGCCGTATTAGTTAATGTTAGTTAAAATCGCAGACAAGACAAGATAACCTGGGTTTTAATTTACACTGGCAGTCTGACACCAAGCCCAAAGAGAAACCTGTGTCAGAATCTGATCTGCTGATCTAAATCATCACAGCCTGGCTTACTTCCAGCATGCTTATAACTTGAATAAACCCACACAGATTAATTTATAGGAGTTCAAATGAATGCTGTGACACCAGCACCGTAAGCATGTGTTAAATCCAGTTCATGCAAGGGGAGAAGCCCAGTGTGCAACCACTTGCCTTGAACAAAATGCACACAACGTGCACAGCACTCGGAGCTCTGTTTGCTCTCCTGTTTATTTTGCTGAGCCTTCGCTCCTGAGTTAGGAAGGTGCTAAGAGGCAATGCCAGCTCCTTGAAACAGTGCTGGAAGTCAGGTCTCACTTAGCAATCACCAGAGGTACAAGATTCAGTGTCTCAGAACCATGAGTTATTCAAAGAATCAGGTCAGTGGAAGATTAAGCTGTGCAAGAAATGCTCTAGGGTAGAAAGAGCGAGCAGAAACAATGCAGGAAGTGGTTTCCAGTCATGAACCCAGTTTTAAGCAGTTAAGATTTGCTTGAGAGATTAGTGTTTTGTAGACTGATGGGAAACCAAGGGACTCCAATGAAAGGACAGAGTGAATCCCAGTCATTGATATAGGAGAGATCAGGGAGGGCAGGAGTCCCACTACTCCTATTTTGAAGCATCTCTCTGAACTAGCACCTTTTAATATCACTCTTAGTAACTGCAGAACCCAGCAAGACATTATTAAAAAGTTTTGGGGTTTTTTTTCCCCAAAGGTTGTTAGGCCAGGCCGTGCAATTTAACATGCACTATTATACACTGCAATGCTGGCATCAGCTTCTTTACAGGCTTTTAAACACATATAAAATGTTTAAAAGTAAGGTCCCTTGAAAGCCTGCTTTGTCTCATATTTTCAGAGTAAAGATATTAACTCAGTAACCATAAATGCCACCTGAAGATGAAAGCAAAAAAAAAAGCAAACAAAGGCAAGTCGAGCATACTTTGTAACTACCTCAGTCATGTAATTTAGCCTGCTAGAACCGAACAACTTGATAGGGAGCAAAGAAAAGGCTATGAAAATCTTTCCTTACTCCTGCTGCAACGCTTTCTGGAGTCCTCATGACAGCACCTCCGGTGGGGTGGGGCAGAAAAGCTCTCCCATTGCTTTACTATTTACTTTAGCCCTTGTTAAACCATAATCACAAAGCTTAAATTCGGAGTTACATCCCTCCTTTTCATTCAACACAAAGGAACTAAAAGGCAAGTCCTATGCACTTAACAAAAAAATACAGTAATTATTCCTCTCCTGAGCTCTTTTTTGAGTCCCAGGTTGGCACCTATCTTGTTCTGCACACTGGGATCACCTTTTCTTTTAAGGTAACAGACATGACTCTAGTTCTCCCATTACGCAGTGCCACAGCTTGGTTTCCATGGGCATGTAAAAGCCCACTCACCCCTAATTGAAGCAAGGTTCCCATCCATCCCAGTGGAATCCACTGTAGAAATGGATTTTATGATGGTTGGCCATACTATCACAACCTGTCTCTGAGTACGGTTAACCAGAGTCTCCCATGTGCAAATCTCTGCCCCTCAAACTCGAGCCTTGCTGACCAAGTGACACCAGGGGCAAATCGCATGACAGCGGAGGCCAGGGCTGTACCACAAGGGCCTCCATGGTTTGCTTTGGTTAATTGTACTGAACAAACAAGAACGATTTGGCCCCTATGAGGCCTTAATCTTCTTATTTTCCCCAGTAAGTTTATTTTGTCCAGTATCTTTCCAAGGCTTTTTTTCAACTGATTTGGATGCAATGAGCCACCTTGGCTTGCCTTAGTTCCCCAGTAGAAAAAACCTGGTCCCAAGCTGGTTGTGAGCATTGAATGGCTTGGTGCAGCCAGAGAACAAGGAAAGCATTGCTGTCAAAAAATGCCACTGCACAAAACACCATGGCTTACCTACCACTTTGACTGATAAGCCAGGCAGGATTTGCCAGCATGCAGCATTTGTCATTAAAAAATAGATCATTTTGAGGGTGACAGAAGTTAAAAAGCAACTTTTCAGTTAAGTTTTCCAGGAAAATATTTCTCAGAGGTAATTCTTGTGCTTCCATAAGTTTCAGTCTCCCTGAAGTGAGTTCCCTAAACCCTCCCCGCTACCATTCTTCCCTTATGAAAGGGCTGCAAGGTGGCAAATAATGGATGAATCACCAGGCATGACAAGAGATGTGTGGAGGGAGTGGAGGAGGTCTTGCTGGATGCAAATATGATGAAAGGTCCTGTAAACCTGCCTCAGAGAGCTATCTGAGATGCTCTGACTAGTCTCTGGAGAGAAAGTTTGAGAGGTCGCTTGAACACAGCCCATAATTACTTGTGTGGGGAGAAGACAGATGGGAAAAGGCTTTTTTGGGAAAAGGCTTTGGCCACAAAGCTAAGACATAAGAGGTGCACCTGCTGCATTAGGGCAGCACCACTAATATTTTTAGCTGCATTTTAATGCCACTGCTCCCAGAAAGGAGGACAGAAGGTATGCTCTAGGCTTGCCCCTTAGACAAGTCTTTTTAGTGAACCCAGGTGGGTGCCTGGTTTCTGGATCCAGGTAAAATTTAGGTAGAAGGTAAATAGTGAGCTTCTTATAGAGAGTGGCTATGACACAGCCAGAAAAACAACTCCAGGTACCCAGAGAATTTTAAAGTCAAACAGGGTGATGCCCAATAGCTCTGCTGCACACAGAAAATCATTGTCTGCGTATTGTCTTTCGTCCTTGTGAGCCTCTGTTCAACTTTTAGGGGGAGATTTCTGCAATGAGGCCATCAGTAAAATGTGCTGTACATACACAAGTCAGAAGTGAGCCTAGAAATACAGGTCAGAAGTGCAGAGATAGTGTTCGACTGGTTTTGTTTTGTTTTTTAAGTAAGTGGTATTTAGTCACTGTACAGTAAGTGATCTATCTAGGCCTAGGATTCAGATGAGGCGGGAGGATATTGAAGTCATAGCTAGCACAGCAAATGCAAAAAGAGAATGCATATATTTCTGAAATAGCAATTTTTTTTTCCCTTCTTCATGAATAAGTCACTCTTGAAGATCTAAAATTTTGTAGG